AAACAAGCCGGTGTTAGCACATCTAGAACAAACTTTCTGCAAAATACCTGCTCCCCCCGCCCCCATCCGCATGGACAGGGTGGGCTTAGGAGACAGAAGGTCTCATATTAATCAGGGTCCGTCCCTGATGCCAGTGATGTCAACGTTCATTGACTTGTGAGAGTTTCTCGTTTCAGCTTTCCAGCTTGGTGGTTGGAGTGGCCGCAGCGCCCCCGGGGAGAAGACCCAGAGGGTGTGTGGCTGATGGGCTCACACGCCCTGCCCCTGAGGGACACATGCTCTGCCCTCCTGCTTCTTGCCCTTTGCCTCACTGATTAAACTCAATGCCTGATGCCTGGGTGAAAACGGTCTTTTCATGAGCTGAAAGGGGACGGCTTACAGACAGGCTGTGTCAGCTCTCGTCTCCTCGAGCCAAGGTCATCAATTCCAGCCTGCCGATCCCTGCTTAATGGGCGGTGAGCATTACCTAACTCAGCAGCCTCTTTCTGTCGATGCTCAAGTGCTTAAGGAACAAACACAGGCTGGGAACAAAAGCCACATTTTATTTTATGTTTTGCTCAGTCACGAGAGGAGGTTCCCGGATGGCAAAATGACTCAGGAGTGGTCTATCTCCATCAAGAAGAAAGTTCAACCCAACTCCCCTTTTGCTGAATGGGGGTATCTTTAGAATTGGGTGTGGGTATGAAGTCTGGCACCCCCATCTGCTCCCCAAAGCTTGTACAGATGGGGGAAGCTTCAAAGGAACCCCATGAACCCCCCTGGAAGCCCCCGAGTTAAGTCACAGGTGGGCAAAAGCGAATGAAGGTCCCTTCAAAGGAGTGCTCTGGGGAAAGGTGGGAACAACGAGCCGGTGGTAACGAGCTCTCGGAAACTATCAGGAACAAGGGGAAACACCTGCTCTGAGTAAGTTCCAACTCATTCGTTCAAGGTAGTAAGGTATTCCTTGACTACTTCTTTATCCATCTCCAGCTGCAAACCTGTCTCCCCCCCCAACTTGCACTTCCAATTTGTTTAGGAGTTCATAGTCTATCTTATGAGAAAAGATGGAGCTAAAATAAGAATTGAGCCCCACTGCCTTTTCCTTTTCCTCTGTTAGGATTTTTCCTTCTCCAATGCGGAGCAGTGCCACTCTGTCTTTGGTTTGTCTTTTATGACTTTCATACCTGAAGAATGCTTTTTTTATTGCTTTTAGTATCTCTAGCTAACTTCAGCTCATCCTCAGCTTTTGCCCTCCTCAGGCCATTCCTGCATTTCTTTGCTACTTCTCTGTACTCCTCCTTGGTGGCCTGGCCTTTTTTTCCACTTCCTGTACCTGTCTTTTTTGTTTGTTTGTTTTTAGGACCTCCCTGAGCTTTTTGTGAAGCCACACTGGCCTTTTTTGCCACCTCTCCCTTTCCCCCCCCTTGTTGGTATTGTTTGTAGTCGTTTCCCCTGGTGGCCAATCGGGCTGTTTATGATGTCCTTCATCCTTAGCCCAGCCAGGCGAAAGGCCAAGGACAGAACTGGGAAGATGAAAAGCCAAACATCCCATTTCTCTCAGCAGATTTCAATTACCCTCCTCTTTGGGGACAGCCCAGCACTTGCTTCTTACATCCTTGGGGGCTGACCAGGCAATAACGGGCAGCGAGGTTTTCACAGACAGTCCTAAGAAGGTGGGCAAAGTTAACCTTCAGGGCTGGAAGACAGCAGGAGACTTTGGAAAGAATAAAAGGCCTAGGGGAGGATCAGAGTTGGGACCGAAAAGAGGTAATCTTACAGATGTTGTTGAACCACAGCCCCCATGAGCCCCCTTCCCAGCACAGACAAGGGCAACGGACCATGGGAACTGGGCACAACACCATCTGGAAAGCCCCTTGCCCCGCAACTCTGCCAGTGGCTACAGAGCCAGAGGATGGGAGCTCAATCCCCCCCCCCGGGGCCTCCTTGACAGGGGTTCGACTCCACAATCCACAGGGTCCTTTCCAACTCTGAAGTTCGATGATGATGATGATGATGATTCTTCAAGAGTGGGTCAAGGAAATGGTTGATTAGGAGAGACGGATTATGGTGGGGGCAGTGCTTGCTGGCTGGGGAATTCGGACAGTCCCAAAAGTAGTAACTTTTCCAAGTTCTAGTCAGGACTGAATACTGGATGGTTGACCCTGAAACCCCACCCAATGCCTGGTTACTGAGTGTCCCAACCCAGGGCTGCTCTGCACATTGTCTGCAGTGTGGAAACCGGAGGGAGAGACAGAAGCCTGGAAAGCAAAGTTCAACTGTGATGATGAAGCTGGAAGTCGGGCTACCGGGGCTGATACCAAGCCTGGCCAAGCCAAAAGCTTAGGGCTGTGGGTCCATCCAATGCTGCTCAGTCCCTCTGTACCTGAAGAGGATTTGGGGACAAAGAGAACTTTCTCCTACGTCGGTTCCCCCCTCCCCCACATTTTATGCAAAATGCCCTTGGGGCATGGGGGGGCACGTAAGCAAAACTAGTGTCCTTCCTCTAATCAAAGCAAAGCAGGCCCTTGGCAAGGCAGGAGGATTGGCTTGTTATTTAACAACAACAACAAAAAAGCTGCGAGACACCCATCCCATGCTTCAGATTTTTTGAAATCCATGAAACAAAGGTGCAGCTATGGCATTTCTGTGCCACATTGGCAGGTTGCTCATCCATAATTATTTCCTGAGAATGCTCGGCAAGTTAAATTTATCTCAGCATTTGCTTCTGTCATACTATCGTAGCACCNCATGGGGGGGGGGGAGTCTCAATCCATGTCATCCCAGCTGGCATGAACAGCCACACCCAGCCACGTTCAGCTTACCTGCAATTGCTTCATAGAAAGTGGCTTTATAGTTCAGATATTCATAGTCCTCAAATCTCTGGGGTCCCTCACACAAGACTCGGCACGCTGTGTCGGCAACGTTGTATTCGGTCAAGGCCCGTTCGAGGAATTCAATGGCCAAGTGATACTCTTCCCTGTCGTAGTGCCTGATGCCGGAAAGGTAATCCTCCTGGAAAGCCAAGAACAGCAGGAATGAGAGAGGCGTCCGCGTGGGGATTATTCGAGACAAGCGACTACCAGAGTGCTGGATCTGAGCTGGGAGACCGGGTGGAACGTCTAACATTCTCTTATGTTTGTTAAGTCAAGACCCCGGTTGCTTTGAAAAGATGCTCTTCACTTATCAAACGTGAGAGGTTGCCAACTGGGCCCGTCAAAATCCTGCATTTTGTGACCTTCTGTGTATAGGTTAGAATCCTCGAATCCCAAAGTTGGAAGGGGCCAAGAAGGCCATTGAGGCCAATCTCTTGCTCAATGCAGTAGTTCAAGCCCAAGCAGATCGGACAGAGAGTTGTCCAATTTTCCTTTGAATGCTTTCAATGTTGAACTCCTCACCACCCCTCAAGCTTATTGGTTTCATTGTCATACTGCTCTAGCGGTTAAGAAGTTTTTCCTGATCTTCAGATGAAATCTGCCTTCCTGTAGCTTGAACCCACTCTTACGCATTCTGCACTCTGCAATGATTGAGAACAGATCTTAAACCTCCTCTGTAGGAGAGTCTTTCAAGTCTTTGAAAAGGGCCCTCCTATCTCCCCACTTGGTCGGCCTTTTCTCAAAGCTAAACCTGTCCAGTTCTTTCAGTCTTACAGGACTTGGTTTCCAGTCCCCGGATCATCATCTTTGCTGCCTTCCTCTGAACCTGCTCCCGTTTGGTGGCATGCTTCTTAAATTGTGGTGTCCAGAACCAGAAAACAGGACTCTTGATGATGAGGCCTCTGCCGTGCTGAACCAGTTAGGCAAGAAGATGAGAAAGACAGCTGAGGGGTTGCCTCCACTACTCTTCCGTTCCCCCTGCCTGTGCTGACCATTTGTCATGGCTTTTGTCTGTATGCGTGAGATCGGGAGGTGAAAATGGGACCTGATCACATTATAGAAACCTGGCTTCACCTTTCTGCACTTTTCCAGTGTTTCTCTCCAAGGGCTCTGAAAAAACCCTTGAGTGGTTTCGGAAATTCCACCCAAACCCTTGAGATGATTTGCAAGGCAAGGCAGGCATGCAGGGTAGCTAATAAAATAATTACCATATTTTTTCCGTGAATAAGACTATACTTTAGTCTCATATCTTTAGACAAAAAATTGAGGGTTGTCTTATACACGGAAGTAAGCTGATGAGAGAACAAAAACAAGTGGAAGGGAAAGCAGGGATCAAAGTGATCCTGCAGTGCTTTGATCCCTTTCCTCCTACACTTGTTAAGCCCCACTTTGATTTCTTAATTTTTGATTGGAAAAGTGGGGGCGTCTTATACATTGGGGGGTATCTTATACATGGAAAAATAGAGTAGTCAAAGAACGCTGGATGCAAAAGGCCTTTGGATTGATGCCACTCAGCTTGTCTGATATTTTCAGAGGAGGGTGAGGTCTTGAGCTGGGGGGGATTTGGACTCAAGGGCCTTAGAGGCCCCCTTCCAACTTCATGATTTCATGAGCCAATGAGTCTATACAGTGGTGCCCCGTATAGCGAGGTTAATCCGTTCCGGATTAACCTTCACTATACGAAAACATCGCTGTGCGGGTAAGGAAAGAGAGTTTACTTCTAATTCAGTTCAAAGAGCAATTTTATGTCCACCGTGCGGTCAGGAGGACAAACGTGGCCCCGTGTCCAGTTTTACCATGTGCGGCCGGGCCTCGCGATCCACCAAATCCACCTTCCCTGCCGTGGTCTTGTAGTTCTCGATGTCCTGCTGGATCCCCAGGTGCTCCGGGTTGGCCAGAAAGAAGGTGTGGGCGGCATCAGCTGCCTTGTCCAGTTGGTTTAACTAGAGAGCAGGGAAAAGCAAAGGAGAGGGAAAAAGGGGGGGAAAGGGTTAAAAAGGCAAAAGGGGAAAGGACTTTTGCTCCACAGCGGAGATGGGCAGGAGCTGTCGGTTCGCCAGTTCGTGCTGGTTCGTTCCTCAGCTAAACACGTGTTTAGCACTTCAAATCCCCATGTCTTCCAGCGAGCACCCACTTAGAGGAGGAGGCGGGACAGGGAAGCCAGGCACGGCTTCTGAGTGGACACTCACCGGAGGAGGTGGGGTCACAAAGTGCTGAACGCCGGTTTGGCCGATAAACGAACTGGCACGAACCTATCTCTGCTCCATAACAAATCATTCATTCATTCATTCATTCATTCCTTCATTCATTCATTCATTCATTCCTTCATTCATTCATTCATTCATTCCTTCATTCATTCATTCATTCATTCCTTCATTCATTCATTCATTCATTCCTTCATTCATTCATTCATTCATTCCTTCATTCATTCATTCATTCATTCATATGCCACCTTTCTCCAAAAAGGGACCCAAGGAGGCTTACATTACTAAAACAGTATTTAAATCTAAAACTGTAATTATACAAGAATTAGACTTATTGTAGTGTTATTGTTCATTACTACTTCTTGATAAGCTACTGGTTCTCACTGATACTCGCTTTCTCTACACATTGAAGCAGCCTACCCCTAACTCATGGACCTCAGCAAGTGTATTTGCTTCCAGCAGGAAAATGAGGCGACAGTTGTTCTGTTACTAAGGTTCCCAGAACTTCTGTCTTCCACCTTGGCTAAGCAGAGCGTGCACCAATAAGTACATGCGGCCTTGCCTGATGGATGCAAGCAACCCATCCGAGGCTTCTGATTTTTCTAGGCTCATAAAATAAGGCAGCAGCCATTATAGCTTCGCTATCCAATTTCTGAGTTTTTTTCTTTCCTTTCTCTGTTGCAAATGCAAATGCCCTCAAGCCGCAGGGCTGCGGGTGTTAACACCAAGAGAAGCCGACAAGACATGACCAAGGAGGGGGGGGGGCTTTATCTGGAGTGGCAACCCTCCCTTTGGAACGCCCTCCCAGAGAAACCAGACCTTTAAGAAGCTCCTAAAAGCAGAACTTTTCAGAGAAGCGTTTGGGAAGGCCCTCCTCCGTTCATGGGAGACGGGGAGGAAAGAAAAAGAAAGAAAGGGCAATAATTAGAATGCCTTATTGTCAATTTAGCACTGCTTGTTCAGCTGCATAGTAGTTATAGTTATTTATAGCACTGGTTTGTAGCTGGGCGATTGGATCATATATTTGTCTAGACGTACTGTTGTAAACCACTGAGAGTAGCTGGTTTGCTAGAAGGCTGGTATAAAATAAAAGAAAATACACGCTCTCTTTGAGACCAACAGAAAGCACTCCACTGTCTTACAGAAAGAGAGAGGAATATGGTGGCAACTTCTCCAAAATGGGTTTACACCCGGAATCTACAGAAGCTCCTAAAGACGCCAGCATGAAAATTGCAGCAAAACAAGAGTAATGTGATGCAGCCGTCAACGTAAGGTGCAACGTGAAGATTTTACAAAATTGGCACCATGGCTGGCCAAGCCAGAGCCCGCCCGGAGCAACCCAGGCGGGGAGGGTTTCCTCGGCCAGCCTGTGCCCTGAAGGAGTTTCCTACAAATGTGTTACTTTCAGGAAGCTGGAAGCAGCTGCTGCCCAAGTCCATAAAACTCGCTGTTTGTCAAATTGGCAGGAGCAGACCTCTCTCTCTCTCTCTCTCTCTCTCCCTGAACTGAACTGTACGTACAGTTCAGCAGAACCTCGGGAAAACATCCCCTTGAGAGACGGCCCTATGGTTCAGTGGTGAGAGCCTGGCTGGCTGCTCCGTGTTCAACAAGAGCAGATTTCGGCCGAGGACCGGATGAGGACGGCTGCCAAGTTCCTCTTGGAAGGGACTAAAAGGGGCCAATTATGAGCAGCACTGGTTGGCGAGACCAGTTTAAATCCCTGCTCGGTCACTGGGGTGGCAACGGGCAAGCCAATCCCCAGGGATCCCGAAGACTTAAAAACCCAACAAGGGTCACTGTAAGCCCCACGCAACTTGACAACAGACAACACAAAACTATGTAGTCTATATCTGAAGTGTATGGCCATGGTATCTCCAGTCGATCGGTCCCAATCACCTCTGCGGATGCCAATAAATATGTGGAAAAAGTGAACACTATGCATAGCATAGTGCTCTGGTCCATGGCGTACTCTGGTCCATGGGGTCACAAAGAGTCAGACACGACTTAACGACTAAACAACAACAATGCATAGCGAGGTCTGTAGCTCCCTCTAGTCCACAGGTTGTTAAATACACTCTGGAAATACATATAAATTGTATTTCGGGGGAGTTTTATTTAGTATGTTCAGGGCAGCGAATAAGTGAATCAGTGGATACTGATCCCGTGGATGGGAGGGAGGCTACTGTATTCTGTATCTGTGGTCTGATTAGTTTTTAGGAAGATGGAACTATATACAAATGCTTTGTATTAGCATTGAACTATTTACCTCAGATAATTGAATGTGTTTTAATTTGTGTACTTCTATTTAAAAGTAGGTCTACTGTATTGGTTCAGCTAGTGACAGGGTTTGTACTGTATGATTATGGCATTTATTGTATGCTGTGTTTTTTATTGTATGATTTTATTGTATCTTGTGAACCTCCCAAAGAGAGTTCGCACTAGTGGGATGGTAGTACTCCAGCCGTAACAGTAGGAAGAAATGGAAAAATTAACACAATTCAGAGACCTGGAAACAGAAATAACTCACTGGTGGATGGAACACATTCCAGTGGTCCCCATAGTCATTGGGGCATTGGGGAGAATGCTATGGAATGTTATTAAATATTACAATCAGCTACAGAACTATGGAATAACACCTTCAGAGTGGCGAAGAAACAGCAATGCCTGCCGGTTGGGCGCAGGGATCCCTCCACAACTGTTTTCAAATGCACCTCTGGTAGTGCCAGGGGGAGTGTAAAGGAAGCTGGGCTCAGGCTCCGGAGCACTGGGTTCAAATCCCCGCTCAGTCTCGGAGCTTACTGAGTCACCTCTCTACCTACTGACCTACCTTGGATGTTTGGTGCGAGGATCATGTGGGGAGAAGGAGAGCCCGGTATTAAGTTCCTCAGGCACACGCGATGAGGGAGGAGATAAAGGTAACCAGAGGAAAACCTCATTGTCCGGGGTCTCTTTTAATCAGACATGGGGCCGTCTCTTCCAATGTCATGTTTATTCTTGTGGCTTGTTTCAAACGAATCATACTGTCTAAATCAAGTGTGTCTTACAGTTTAATCCTTCGAAATTTAATGTACAAAACCACCAGGAAGAAAACTTTCTTGAGCAGAGGAGTCAGAAATATTGAAATAAACAAATGTGCAATAAATAACAAAAGGGATCTAAGCATACAAACTCAAGACCATCGGCACTACAGTCTTTCAGATTAGGCTCCCCATATCCACGGGGTCAGTATCTGCAGTTCCACTTAGCTGTAGTCTGAAAATATTAAAAGGAAGAAAAGAAAAGAAAAACCTCTAGAAACACGTATTTTCACAATGTATTTGCCAGAACTGGCCACTAGAAGGAGCCATACATCATGCTTTGTATTCATCTTGTTGAAAAATACATGGCATGCTCTCTGGCTCTTTCCGGTTCCCTTTTTCTGACCCCCCCCCCTTTTACCATGCTATGTATAGCGTTTGCTATTATCTGCAGCTTTCAGCATCCACCGGGGGAGGCTTGGAACCAATCTCCGGAAGATATGGGGAGGTCCTACTGTACTGGGTACAGGTGTGAACGCTAGACAGTGGTGAGAGCAGATTTAAAATAACCCAATTCAGCTAGAGGAGAGTTTTGTGGCTACCCCAGACCATCGCAAAGACAAATAAGCGGGTCCTAGATCAAACGAAGGTGGAATTTTCCCTGGAAGCCCAAATGACAGAACTGAGGCTGTCATGCTTTGGGTGTACCATGAGAAGGCAGGACCCGCTGGAAAAGACAATAATGCTAGGAAAAGTGGAAGCAGCAGGAAAAGAGGAAGGCCAAATACGAGGTGGACTGACACCATAAAGGAAGCCATCACTTTGGGTTTGCAAGAGCCGATCAGGGTTGCTAATGTTGGGACCTTAAAGCCGCTGTTAAGTCGAAGGCAATTTGAAGGCACAAAAAACACCATTATGGGCCATGAAATGCTGGGTGCAAATCACAGTTTTTTATCACGGGCCTGCTTTCAGCAGGCTCAGCAAACTAGCCTCCTCCTGCCACTCAGCAGGAAAGTCTGGAGAGAGAAAGGAGGAGGAGGAGGCTTTTGATTACAGAAGTCATTTTTTTCTCGGCAGGACTTGGAACTCTGTTCTGTCGGAATCCCTCCACCCTGCAAACGGAAGACCTTGGCCACATGGCTCGTTTGGACAACAGCTCCCAGAATCCTCCAGCCCCATGGCCACGGGTCCAAAAAAAGAAGTAATATTTCCAGCGTTTTGCAAAGCACCTCTCTCTCGGAAGCCAGTTGCACCGGGCAATCCTTTGAACGCTGTAGCTATGGCTCTCTGGTCTATTCCATCTAACCCAATAAAGAAGAAGCACAGGCAACCCCCTCAATGTGATCCTTAATCTTATTCCATCCACCTGGATTCTGGAGGAGGAGGTCAAAGGCTTTAATCCTGCGGTAGTCAGAAGCTGGCCACCTCTCCAAAGGGCTTAGCAGCCACGGCCCCTAAAAACATCCCGGAGATCATCAGGTGGAGCCCTGCCTCTTTCTCCACCAGGCTGAGGTTATGAAACAGGGTACTCCATGTTCCGTACGGAGCGAACACACGTCTGGGCAGAATCAACAAGGCGAGTAAATAATCCCCTAAGGGGAGCCCCACCTTCTACCTTCCAAGCACAAACCTGCCCCTCTTCCTTCCGCCTTGGAACTTCAAACTTGCGGTTTCCTGAGTGCTTTGCATTTTTTCGGTGGCCACTTCAAGCAGCCCTTCAAG